CGGGCCTGGGCGCTGTCCCTCAGCTCTTCAGCTCAAGGCTAGCGCTCTACCACTTGAGCCACAGTGCCACTTCCGGCTTTTTTCTTTTTGCTTATGTAGTGCTGAAGAATCGAACTCAGGGCCTCAGGCATGCAAGGCAAGCGCTCTACCACTGAGCAACCTTCCCAGCCCTCATCTTGGAAGTTTTAAGTGAAAAGAGCATCTCGGTGGAGAGTCTGCATATGTACAGTATCTTAGGAAATTTTTATTTTTTTTTTATACTGAGAACTTGATTTTTCTATTTGATCATCTAGTATTTTTTCTTCTGTGTCTTCTTTCAGACAAGACTGAACAAATAAGTGACACTGGAATTTAAAGTGAAATGAAGTGGCATGTCTGAAGTAACAGTTAAAAGTGTGGTTAATAGGCTTTGTTTGTACACATTTTTAGCAAAATCTTGTCAAACTGTAATTTTCCTCTAGGCATGTTTTTCTAAATTGTGCTCAGAAAATCTTTTTGGCTTGAAGAAGTAAATACATTTGAAATTAAATATATATAAATATATAAAGTTTATATATATAAAGTTATATAAAGTTTATATTGAAATATAGGAAAATAAAATATTCCTGCATACCAAATTACAGTAATACTTATAAACAAGATGGATGTTTTTCAGTGAAGTAATTCTACACTTTGTTTCAGTCTATGCCTTTGTAGATAAGGCCACATAACCACCCACAGATTGAGATCAGAAAAATTACTTTTGTACTGTGCCAAAATCTAATATAAATCAATTGAAGATGTAATGCCAACCATATAGGTATTTGTATTTAGTCCCCAACCTCCAAACTTAGTATACTGTAGATTCCCAAATGTATTTGCTGCATTTTAAAGAAATATTAGAATACATATGTTTGGTTTGTTGTTTTGTCTTGTCTTCAGCAGGTCTTGAACTCTCCTTGCTTGTTTGCTGGCACTCTGTCAGTTGAACTAGACCTGGCATTTTGCTACTTAATTGGAGATAGGTGTCTTGAAGCCTCTTTTTGCCTAGGCTAACTTCGAACTATGACCCTCTAGGTCTCAACCTTCTGAGCATGTGGGATTATAGGCGTGAGCCACCAGTGCCAGTCTAGAATACCTGTGTTTTGATTAAAGGTTAAGTTTCCATTACTTACTTTGAAACACAGCCCCTGTATAACTAATTCCTTTGAAAACAAGTTAAATTATAAAATTTTGTGACTTACAACATACAAAATTTGAAGCTATAAACATCAAAATTAGGGGTTATATCTATGTAGTATATCTGTATTCTAAATAGTATTAACATAGTAAAGTTGTAAGTTGTTTGCTAGGTGAAAATTTAGAAAGTGTACCTATTTGCAAGTGTTTAGCAATGTGTACATAAAGACAACAGGGATATGTATATACAAGAAGATTACATATATTGTTTTCTGTCCATGATTTGAAGGAATTATAGGCATAGTGAAATTTTATTTATTACTAGAATTCAGTTTATAACTTGAGTACTTACATATTTCTATTTTGATTATTTTGTAAGGTTTGCATATATAGTTAGTAGTTAGAACATATATGTGCTAGGCTTGGCTCTGCTCTCAGTACTTCGTACCTATTACATACTGTTCCAAGGACATTGCATATATTCATACATTTTATCAGCACACGGCCCTAAAAATTTAAACCAAAGAGATAATATAGGAAAAGCAAGTTTTATTTGTTAATGGCTGTTTGCCATTACCTTTAAAGTTAAGTTGTCATTCATAATAGAAAACCAAAACAGTAACCTAACGGAAGAATCTTGAGAATGACTTAATATGATGTAGTTGCCAGAGCCCACTCAACTGCTGGGGCTGAGAGAAGGGGTTGGTTTCACTTGCTTTCAGTGATGCATTTTCCTAGTATGGTTGAACCACCTTCTTTTCCCTTCCTCTGAGGACTTTTCCTTTCCCTTTTCCTGTTTTTATCCCTTATTTCCTATAGTTGAGGAATTTTGCCTCTGACTGTGGCTATTTAGATCCATTCACATACAACTGAATATGGAATATATTGGTGGGTAGTTAAATATTTCAGGTTAGGGAGTAAAGGTGGCAGAAAAATTATATTTTCTAAAAAAGATGTGTAATCTCTTAGGAAGTATAATGGCTATCATTTCATCTTCTTTTCTCCTTGCTAGTTTTGATTATGAAGATGCAGGCTACCAGACTGCAGAACTTGTAAAGATGGATATTCTACTAAATGGAAATATTGTAGAGGAGCTAACAACTGTTGTACACAAGTAAGTTGAATAGAAATTAATCATGAAATGGGAAAAATAATTACTTTCATGTCTTTCTGAGTTATTTCAGATTTAATTACTTATTTCAGAACTTAGTTATTTTGGAACTGCTTTTAAAAGGGCAAGATGTATTAGAATCTAAGGGAAGGATAAAGTAGAAGGTGAAGTGAAGGCTAAAATAGAAAAGCACATTATATATTCATGAAAAAGCATAATGAAACCCCCTAAAAACTCCTTAGACAGTAGGAAGAGGAGAAAGGGGGATTAAAAAAGACTAATGTAGAAGAGGTGAATTTGATCTATCTATCTATCTACATATATAAATATTGTAAACCACTTTGTACAATTAATTTATGCTAATGAAAAAAGAAGAAAATCTCTAAGTTAATTTAAATAGGCTTCACTCCACCAGTTTTTCCTTCTGTTGTTTTCAACAGTTCAACTACTGAAAATATAGAGTATAATTACAATAACTAAAAAATGTCTTAAGGGAAGAAATGCTTCTCTTACCACGTAAAAAGTACAAGAAAATATTTTTTAAACATTACAATGATTGCTCTAGGATTAAGAACAAAATTAATTTTCATATTATAAACATTTTAATAAACATTTGAAAAGTCAGATATGTATGCACAAACTGCCAGATTGCTTAAAATAAGTTATAATGCACTCTTATAATTACTGTATTTTGTCATTTAAATTATTGTGAAACTACTTTGTGACAAAAATATCTATTAAGAAAGTAGGATATATACATTCTTACCTGACAAAAAACATACACAGAAAAACTAGAAGGACATATGTTTAAAATATCAAAATATTAATAGGGGTTTTCTGAAAAGTCAGGCATCGAGAATATTAGATTGGTGATATGGATCAAGGGTAGATCACTTGCATGTGAAAAGGCCCTGGGAATGATCCCCAGAACTGCAAATAATTAAAATGTCAATTTTCCCCTTCTAGTATATTTATAATAATGTATGTGGTAATATATTTTTCAAAATCAGAAAAATTTGACTTAGAAATTAATATTTATGATAAAGTTTCATTTGCACTCCTTAAAATATCAATGTTACATTGATTGTACATGTGTTTTCTTTTTACTTCTTTCAGAGATAAAGCATACTCTGTTGGCAAAACTATATGTGAACGCCTAAAGGATTCTCTTCCTAGGCAGCTGTTTGAAATAGCAATTCAAGCTTCTATAGGAAGTAAAGTCATTGCAAGAGAAACGTGAGTTGATAATCATTTTTGATCCCAGTCTTTCTTAGAAATAGTATAGCTAGAAAACTAAAAAATATTGAAAATTTTAACTTCATTGACCTAGGGTTTATTTATATAAACCTACTGTTTATATAAACAGTAAGATGGTGCTGGTTTATTAGTTCTAGTGGTTTAAATGATAATTACTTTGAATTATATATACTACAGATCATCAAGTGATGTACCTGGACTTAAACATTTTCCACTCATTTTATAGAGTAACTATGAGTTTTCCAAGATAAGTAGTTGTTTGTTTGTTTGTTTTTAAAGATTTTTATCTACATAGTTTAGAATCTATTCAGAAAAATTATAAATATAGAAACTGAATTTAAAGGACATTTTTTAACCTTAACCATTTAGTATCACTTTACTAGAGAGGCTATAAATCAGAGAACTATAGGAATACTGTTTTTTAAAATTCTAGATTAAGGTATACTGGTTTATAGTAGACATAGAGAGCAAAGTTAATTTCAGTGGGAAATTGGTCATTTCCATGAAATGTAATGTATGATAGAGGACACTGAGGATGCTGCTCTGCTTGAAACAGTAAGTGCAGAGTCTTTTGCAGTACTTTTTCTCAGCCTTACAAGTCCTGTGAGCTCTGGAAATCAGAAGTACTTCCTCAGTTATGAAAAGTTGGTTGCTACTAAATTCTAACATGCCAAATTTAACTTATCAGTAGTGTTGAACATTTTCATTTTTATATAGATTTTATAACATTGTGGTAGTTTTGTTCATCTCAGAAGAGGCAAGGTGGAGTTGATACCTAGTGAACATCCTAGAAAGTGCAAATTAAAACAAGGATACCGAGTTGACATTCTAACATAATTATATTACAGATACTTTAAAAGGAAACAAATTATTTTATACCTTAAAAAATAACTAAAATAGGGAGCTGCTTTTCAAAACTGTAGTGATCTGCAAATCTCTCATAAAAAAGTAGTGTAACTGATAGATGTATTAAAATCAGTTTTGTCTTGAAATAAGTTTTATAAAAGCCTAAATCTTGTAAATATTATCTTACTACCTGTTTGTAGTAAGATAATAGCCATTTTAAATTTTCTAGAAGTATTAGCAGTATTTCTAGGTTAAGCCAGAAGTAATCAGTTACAATTCTTTTATAATGGTCATAATGTTCAAGTTTGACCTAATTAAGCCTGACTGATATATAACCTTTTTAAAGGAAATCCAAAACACTACAACACTGAGATCCCACCTTACTACAGTTAGAGTCAGCAATTAAGAATAAAAACAAAAAATGTTGGCAAGGGTGGGGCCCTATTTTCATTGTTGGTAGGAAAGTAAACTTAGGGTAACCACTATGGAAAGCACTATAGAGCTTCCTCAGAAAACTAAAAGCAGACTGCCTATGATCTGTCAATACCACCTTTGGGCATCTATCCAAAAGATTGCAAGTCAGAATACAATAAAAACTCCTACATACTCATGTTCATTGCTGCACTATTCACTATAGTCGTTAGGGAAACAGCTATACAACCGATAAGTATGTGTGTGTAATATTGAGTGAAGTCAGGCACATCTCATTTGTGGATATCTAAAACATAAACATTTATGATATATATAGTTCCAAATGCATATATACACTATCAAAGTAAAGTATGGTATACAGGGCGGATTTTCTTGGTGTGACCCCTTGGGACAATTAACAGTTTAATAAAATGAATACCAGAAAGTTGAAATATGTCTTGTTAGAGGAGGCTAGAGTTTAAGGGGAGGGCAGCAGATGGAGAGAGGAATGATGGGCATATAGAGTCATGACATTCAATGTCCATACATGAAAATGGAACCAGGAAACTTGAGGATGAGCAGGGCTATAGATTAGGAACAGAATGGTGATCAGGGGTGCATTGCACACTGACATGGTCAAATGCAATCCTTTTGTACAACTACTAAAAAAATAATCTTAATGAAATGAATGCTTGTAATAATGTTTGCTGTTTTGCTAAAAGCATTTGCAGTACATAATTGCAACATTACATTAGTAATACTAAATGTATTAGTAAAAGAAAACTTGTTTTGGAAAGAACTTTTAAATACTACAAAGAAATTATGTACTTAAACATTTCCTCTTTTACAGTGTGAAAGCCTATAGAAAAAACGTTTTGGCAAAATGTGTACGTATATTGCTATTTATTTTATGTTGCTTTATGTTGTGATTTTTATCTAAATGTTATATGAGTTTCTGGCACAGTAGTCTCTATGTTAGACTAGTTATATAATCCAAAATTCCAAGCCCAGAATCAACAGTGATTGGAAACTAAGTTTCCATGGGGATCTATCTAAAATATAAAGATTTACAGGAGGATAAGATCTAGCAGATTCTGGTTTGAAGCCAGTCCTTAAGACTTCATCTCAAATTAACTAGTGAAGGCTAGACTGTACATGTAAACAAACAATACAGATTTCAAGTGATTATCAGCCATGAACAAGTAATCGGAGGGAGTCCAATGCCCAAGTTCAACCCTAGTAGAATCAAGAAAGCAAGCATTAATGAAAAACTAAATAAAGCCCTTCCTATATTTTGAGAAGGTGGTGTAACTAAGATCTGATAGCAAGGCAATGCAAGAAGTAATTTTCCAGGTGTCTACCACATAAATAGTAAGGTGATTATGTTTGTAATCTTGTCTTATGTAAATACATGATTATTTTTCTATGAGGTGAATTGGACTTCTAATTTTTCAAAATACTTTTCAGTATGGTGGTGATATTACCCGAAAAATGAAACTTTTGAAGAGACAAGCAGAAGGCAAAAAGAAGCTGAGGAAAATTGGTAACATTGAAGTTCCAAAAGATGCCTTTATCAAAGTTTTGAAAACACAACCTAATAAATAATTCATAGAACCAACCAAAGAAGTTTTGTCAATTATAATTGATGTTATCTTTTTTTTAGTAACTCATAATATGTTGGGAACAGAATGAAAAACTTTAAAATATGTATATTACTTTAAGGGTTTCCTACTAAATAATCTAGTAGATTTTCTTTGAAAAGAAATAGAGGGTTAGGTAGGATTCCAAAGCTATATTGCCTTGTCTCATATTTCAGTTCCATTACTGACTAGTAGTAATCATGATCAAATTACCTATACTTTATCTGTACCATATTTAGTAAAATTGACCTCCTCATACTTCATAGTACCTTTCTACTTTGATATGATGAAAAGATAATAGATTTTAATTATTTAGAGGAATGCATGCTATACAATGAATTTTAACCTTTTTTATGTATATTTTTTTACTTCTACTTAGAAGAGTTGCCCAGTTGAGGTTCCATCTGACTTAAGTAAATGGATTCTCTTAAGTCCACAAGTGTCAAATTTTATCTAGACCAATTTACCTCATATTTATGCATCATTTATTAGATAAGTAAACAACATAGTGCCTAAACATAGGTTTTAGCTTTTGAAGTTAGTATATTTTATCAAGTGTTACTTTGAAGTTAGATGGTTTACAATATACATATAAGTTAAATTAGGGAAAGGAACTGTTTTATTTCTGATATTCAAAATACAGGTTTTTGGTCAGAAGCTATTATTCATTAATTACCTACATTTCAGACCTCATTTCACACAACCAATAAGTGGTTGATTCAAATCTCTTAGCAAACTCCCACATTCATTCAATAACTAATTTAGCCAATGAGTTGTCTTCTACCTTGAGTGAAGAATTTGAATTTTACTGTAAGTTGCTTATATTAAGACATAATTATGAATAGTGAGGCTTGGAGGTTGTTTGTCCTAATTATATAAACTTCTCCCTTCTAGCTGTGACAAAAGAGAAATATGAAACTCATGACAATAGTTTTGAAAATCTAGCTGGCTTCTAAACGTGTTCTGTTCATCATTGCCAAGGAAGTCACAAGCTGCTATTTGGCACGATATACACTATGGTTCTCCTAGCTTTTTTTTTAATTTCAGCAAATTTTATTCTTTATGATTCTAGGAAATATTACCTGTACTAATCATAGCTGTACAAGGAAAGTATTTTTTAGACTTTTTAATGTAAGCTTCTATGGCCACTTTTATAGCCAGCTGATATTAGTGATTTGGAGTTATCTGCCCTTAAAATGTTTCCCCAGAGAACACCTTTTTGCGAACAGTGATATGGTTATTAGGATAGCCAACATTAGGTTTGATATGTGTCAGCCAAGGTGCAGAATCCAGTCTTCCCTCATTCAGTCTACATAACAACAGAGAAAAAACTATATAACAACAGATGGAAAGAAGCTGACATTTATTGTCTAGATTTCACTGACAAATAGAACTTGGAACAATGGTTTCGTTCTTCAAAGGTAAACAACTTTACTGCTCCTTGTGAAATGTCTTTCATAGGCTTCTAAGTTTCTTAAAGCATTGTTTCTTCTGAGTTAGGGAGCTGTAATGGCCAGAGAACAGTTCTGCTGAAGTACTTGAGGAGGACCTGAACATAATCATTGCTATAATGAGAAAGAGATCTTATACCTTTAAATCTCAGAAGCAACACAGTAGCATACCAAAAGACACCTATAGCTTTTACACTTATTATATAACTTATGGTTGTAAGAGTTGTTTTTAGTAAACAATTTTAGTTATTTACAAGGACACGGGCATTTTTTCTGCTTCCTGGTCCCCAAATTCTGTGTTCTACCACACCCTTCCTACACCATGATGTACTAAAACCATGAGCTGAACACACTCTCTTTGTTTCTGCCAGGTATTTGTCATAGTGATGAGAAAAGTTACAGGTAATAGCTTGGCAAGAATGCTGGTTAGAAAGGGGTCAGACAGGATGATGAAGCAGAACACAACAGTTGATTCTTTAATATTTGGCCAAAGCTCTTGACAGAATGGCCTAAGCACCTACTGGAAAGAAGAACTCGGCTAGTGCATATAGGAGGGCTCAGCTTTATTTTCAATGCATTGAGATTCTTAATGTGTTTTGCTTTCCAGAAGGCTACTGCATAGATGAACCTGAAACTAAAGATACTTATTTCAGAACTATGAACCCAAGGTGGGTGGTGTCCCAGAAAATATTTTTGTGTTTGTATATGCTAATACTTGGGGTTAAATTCAGGACCTCAAGTTCTTAACTTTTTTTGCTCAAGGCTGGTACTCTACTACTTGAGCCACACCATTTTGCTCTTTAATTGGAAAAAAAATCCCACTGCAGGGGCTGGGAAGGTGGCTTAGTGGTTGAGTGCTTGCCTTGCATGCATGAGGCCCTGGGTTCGATTCCTCAGCACCACAAAAGCAGAAAAAGCCAGCAGTGGCACCATTGCTCATGTGGTAGAGCACTAGTCTTGAGCTGAAGAGCTGAGGGACAGAGCCCAGGCCTAGAGTTCAGGCCTCATGACCTTCTCCACACCCCCCCACCCCCACATAAAACCCACTGCCTTTTCTGCCCAGGGTGACTTTGAGCCTAGATTCTCTAGGATTATAGGCATGAGCCACTGGCGCCCAGACATAATAGATATTCAAATGACTTGAGGCCATGTAAAAATCTCTGTGCAGGGTTTCCCAGCATTCATACATTTGTGTAATACCTTCACTATTTTCCCATGGCCAGACACCGTCTAAATTACTATTTAGTATTTTTATTCAAGTTCATTCACTTTTGTAAATGCATTTTAAGAGAAAAAAAACTTAAGACTATTAGCACATCATAATCTGGAATTAATGTGGCACTATTTCATTCTCTATCAGTTACAAAGATAATAAAGTATGGGTTTACAGAATATAAGATACACAGAGGATAGGGAACATTTTATTCTCCCTGGAGCAAGACTAAGGAAATATGGGCAGAAACGCTATCTTAAGTCTCCTAACTACATGATGGTAACTATCAAAAGTAAATTCGGACTCACAGGGACTATTAATAGTTGGAATCTCCCAAATGCATGTGTTCTTTATTTCACTTCTGCAAATAAAATTTAAATAATCTTTTATTATTGTTGTAAGCTTTATTTGAGTTAAAGATAGAAAACGATATAATTTTATTTGCAATTTAATTATGCAAATTGTTAGGACAATCTTAAATAGTATACAGTGATTCCTTTTATATACACTTCATTTTATCACTTTAGACAGTTCACATATATGAAACAAAAGCTGCTAATGAAGTTTAACAATAATCAAAATACTTTTCAAAAGAATAATCTTCAGTTTGAAACTAACTAGGTATAAAGCTCATAACTGCCAAGATACTCATATTAAGGATATGAGACCATTAAATAAAAATAAGCGTATTTGTAAAAAAGTGCAATAGAAGGTACACAAAAACACATTTACACACACTTTCCAAAAAGATGTAAACTTTACTTTTAGGCACTGTTATCTCTTCAGATTTCCTTAACCAGCAATGTATAACAGGACTTCTGATGTCCAGGTTACTACTACAGAAAGATGACTAAGGCAATCACGTGCAGAAACGTGTGACTCACAGAAAATACAGGCTTCTTCCAAAAGCAAAGGTCTGTAATAATAGGGATTTGACATCTGAAAGATGTGGAATGTCATTTCAAAATTAAAAAATAGACATCTATGACACACTTGATGTGCAGAATCTTTCTAAAACAAGCTTTAAATAGGCAGACATTCATTTCTATGCTATTTTTTCAGGAGGCCATAGAGCTTCTGTACTTTCTAAGAAACAGCCAACCAAATTAAGCACAAACTGCTTCTAAATCTAAAGATGGAATGTTTAACATGTATTTTTAAATGGCAATCTTCAAAATTTCCCATAATTATATTGCATAGCAGAAAATTTCTGTAATAAAAAAGTGTTCTTTCTTTCAAGCAGAATTTTGCTCCAGTCTCCTTCAAATTCCTTCTTTCATACTGAATAGTGGATCCACAAGTTTATTGTGCACATGCATTAAACCTTAAAGAAAAAAAGCCACAGTTCCAGTTGTGTTAATTTTGACCTATCTCATTTCCTTCAGAAAAAAAAACAGATTTTTTTAGGTATATTTGGTCCATCTGTTACAAAACAAGTCAAGTTTATTGAAAAAAATACAAATAGAAATGCTCTGAATGGTTACTTCTAAATAAATAAATAGTATAGCTCTAGAATGTACACAGGTATTTTAGAAATAACGAAAGCTAGATTAAGTTCTTGTCTTTAATCTGTTAGGATAGCAAAATTGGGTACGACTTGGTTAATAAATACATTACACCTAAAAGTTTACATTGATTTTGATCTGGCAATTCCTCTACTATACTCCATTGATGGGCTTAAAAATTGCTATAACATTGGTACAGCTTCAGTCCTAAAAAAAACCCAAAAAACTGATGCATTCAACTGTCACAGTATTTTCTACTATTTTAGAATGTGTATTTATAAAAAGGCTCAATTACAACCTTAACCTTTACAAGTTGAGGGAGCTTTCCTAAAGCAATAGAGTAGAAACCTGTATTAAATTATAGAGTCTAAATATAGGTTTAAAGTTAAATTAATTTTAAATTTCACTTTTGTAAGATTCATATATGCTTGTAAATCATTCTAACCTACTGAATTTTGGTAAATAACTCATCTTCCAGTTAATCATATGTGTGTAAGTACTAAGTTTCTTTGAGAAGAAAAAGTTGGTAAAAATAAAATACTGTCTTTGGCAGTAAACTAAAGATTGTATACTTTGCATGCAAGCTAAAGAAACTAGTTAAAATTTCCAGATAATTAAGCATCATTAAGAACCTAGGAGAGGGTGGGGAAGAGGCAGTTCAGAAAACTGTATTTTTAGTTTGGGGAGATAGGATACACACACACATACACACACACACACACACACAAAATCCACTCCTAGAGGGCAAGCAAAAAGCAATATACAGAGGGAGAAAACCCTACCAGAGATCTTCCAAATAGGAAGTGGGGAAGCATTCCAGTTTAGTGCAACTGAAAGGAACTATATTGACTTCTCAGTAATCTTTTTTTTTCTCTTTTTTCCTGTCGTGGGGCCTGAACTCTGGGCCTGGACACTGTCCCTCAGCTCTTCAGCTCAAGGCTTGCGCTCTACCACTTGAGCCTCAGTCCCACTTCCAGCTTTTTTTCTGCTTATGTGGTGCTGAGGAATCGAACCCAGGGCCTCCTGCATGCAAGGCAAGCACTCTACCACTGAGCCACCTTCTCAGACCCGACTTCTCAGTAATCTACTTCAAGGTCCAACCAGCACCATAACCCTTATGAGTTCTAGTGGGAGAGGATGCAACAAAGGGTAGTTTCAGAAGAATTGTCATATTCTAGAGTCATCTTAGGACAGTTTTTCCACTTAATAGAATTCATCTATCTGCCAACAATTTTTTTTATTGTGAAAATACCATACAGAGGGGTTACAATTACATGGGCAAGATTACAGAATACAGTAGAACTTTAAAACTCACTAAAACATTACGATAAGCACTAAAAATCCAACTCATTATAAAATGTGTTTGTTTTTAAACTGTACAATTGTCTATATAAAAAATTCATATAATTGGTATTCAAGTCATAAAATTAAATATTTCTGAGTCCTGATAAAAATGCACTATACTTCTTGAAATAGCAACTCGCTGCTTAAAGAGAAACAGAAAAAATATCAACACAAGGACACAAGACCTATTGAAAAGGGCAAAAATAAGTAGCTATAATAAAATTCTCAAGTATTCAACTTGTGTCTTTCAAAGAATATATAATGAAATAAAGTTCCATTTACTAATAAGCATTAGTGTTTTACAGCTATTAACTTACTTCTTATTTAGGAATTAAATACTTATAATATTTTTAAGGTTTATGTTGGCATGTTGTAGTGATAACAGAAAACAAGGTAATGACCTAAGTGGAACTTGAAAAATTACAAATAACAACTTCACATAGTATTAGTTTCTGCCAGGACTTTGATATGATGTACTATAGGACATGCTAAATAGAGTTAATGTGAATACTTATAAATACTGCCAAATGGGATTCAAGAGATAGCTCTGTCCACTGAGTAACTTGACCCCATTTTTCTATCAGACATCACACAATAAAACCTCATCATAAATGTAACAGCCCCAAAGTGGAAGATGCAGTGTCTAAAGCAAAGCAACAGTCCTTTCATGAATATTTTACGTGTCAACTCTTCTTAGAAGAGCTTAGGGTCTATGTAGATACACTAAAAAATCTAAGTATGTACAAAATACACGTTTCTCTAAATTATCTAATATCTATACTTTTAAAAGAAGCAATGCTTACAGTACTGCTATAAGATATAAAACAGAGAAATATGGTTTGATATAGGCATTATTGTTCTAGAAGGCAGCATGACAGAGTGGACAAAAGCTGTGACTCCAGGCAAGCCCATCAATTATCCAGCACTGCTCACAGATGAGCTACATAACGTAAGTTACTAACCAACTGTTAGGCATTTTAATACATTTGAAAATGGAAGTAAAAAAGAAATTGCCTCACAGTACTTACTCTTGTAAGAATTGGGTACATAGATTAATACAGTGCATTTAGACTAGTTTCTAGTTGTAAAAGTACTGCTATTATTTACTAAAACCTGAAATGTAAACATCTGATTAAAAAAAAATTGTGACAATCACCCTAGTGCAGGATTTAGCTGAGGATATGATTACTGGAAAATGGATTTGTTAAACACCTTAAAGCTGGCATTAAATTTTGTAGATGAAGATGGTTTCCTGGATTAATATCAGAAAGCTACTGCTTACTGGCCATACAATCTAGAAGACTACAGGAAAATATATGAGTAGAACCAACTGAAGTACTCACTGCTTCCACTTCTCAAAGTACAAAAAGCCAACTGTTCTATATTAATTAGATATTTGTGTGGTTTGTATAAATTATAGAAATATAAATGACAAATTTAAATATGATGCATCTACTTAGCTAGGTATCTAGTTTAAAAGGCAGCTGGAGAATATTTAGTAAAAGAGTAAAATACAAAATATAAGAACAAATACAATGCAACTATATTCACAACATGTTTAAAACTTTGTTACCAAAGTATTATTTTCAGTGTTTGCTAAACTTTTGATCATTTATATAACACACCTTCATAATTTTCCCATACTGAAATATTTACATGCACTATAATGTATTGGTTTCCCTGGAAATTTTAATTGTAACTTTAATATACTAAATTTCTGAATATAAGGTGCTATATGATGTAGGACACCATTATTTTATCATTAAGAAAACACTAGTGATAGATAAGCTATGACACCAAGTTTAAGACATATATCAATTTCCATCAAGATCAATGTATTTTAGAGACAATTAGATATAACTTTCTTAACCTTGACTTAAGCAGTGATATTCATGAAACATAGTTTTGATTTGTCAGCACATTTCCCCATACCTGTTAAACAGTTACTTCAGTAAAAGGGCATATTCACTTATGTGCAGGAGTAGCATAAATATATAAATTTGTGTATCATAGATACACAAATTTACTTTCAATAGCAGCTACATAAATATAGCTGCTTTAAATAGTTTTAATAGTTTATGTATTTTGGCTTACATATGGACCACAGTTAGCCACAGATGTCAACATACTTAGTGAAGTTAAAATGTTCCTTGAAAAATCTCCTAACCACCAATTATGCCAGGGATGATGACTTTATACACAAACTAGTTCAGTTATGTTTGTGAATTACTAAACTGCACCACAAGGAAAAACAAGGAAAATTAGCATGTGCCTGTCCAGGTAGTGAGTTAGATGAGACTAGTAAATGAGGAAGAAACCCAGAAGAATAGCATGGCTGCTTAATCTTGTATAATCAATAGGAAAGAAAATACTTACTTTTGGATTGGAAGAAAAGTAACATGAAAATCTAGACAGAAGAAATTCCTTCATGAAACAAAACAGGAAATGTCTGTAAGCTACTATTATCTGAGGTGAAAGTTTTGTTTCTTGAAAACACTGGCATGTATCAGCACAGTGCCAGCTTTGAATAGGCCACAGTGTAGGATTTACTTCTGATCACAGGAAGCTTTATCATTTACAACAGAACATCTCACACTTTGTTTTGGAAGTCAATGCTCACCTTTAAAGTATTTCACAGTTTTAACCCTTAATTCTAAAGTAGCATCTTCATCACACACAAAAATAGTTCGAGGATGCTGCTGAAAAGCTGAAACTGTCCACATGTGGCTGACTCCTTCTTCTATGGCTTTGTACAGGGCAAATGCCTTGTGTGCACCTGTTATAAGGATCATTACCTGAAAAATCATAAGTACCACGTGTTAGTTAATAGTCAATAGAATAACAGAAGATACTGGTGTTTGAGGAGACCAGGGAGAAAAAAAAGATGAGACAAACATGATGGTTGTAAGAAACTCATGTTTTAAATGAGTTCTGTTTGTACATTCAAGTCTAGACATAATTACATGTCATCATAGCTTGTCTGTCCTCTTTCTATGAACCTTTCAATCTTGTTACCGGCAAAGAATTTCCATATAATGAACCATTAATAAGCACAAAGTATAATTCGTCCTGTAATTTTCAAAGAAGGAGATCATTGTACAATTAAGAACTGAAATAGGCAGGATCTCTGGATCGGAGCTCATATATTCTTAAATGTATTAGATTTAGAAAAGATCCAGCCCTAAATGGATTCATCTTCATCTGGAAACTAAGCTATATCCTCTTACATACATCATGAGGGACTCCATACTAAGTCATCCTGAGGACTCCAGTATGGTGTAGGGTGCTATTACATCTATGTCCCCACAGTCCTTCCACAAAACTGTTTCAACTGAAAATAAACCATATGGTTAATAAGATTTTGGGATCTCAAAATGTGAAATAGGAATAGACAAGTAAAGTGTTATTGAAAAAAAAAGGCTCTAATTCTTAGGTTATAGTTCCAAAAGATTTAAAATTAGGTGATTCCTACATATAGACAAAACGGAATTCCTAAAAACTAAATCACAGGATTGTTTTGTTGTTATTTTTTTGTCTTTTCTTTTTGGTACCAGGGATTAAACCCAGGACTTTGCACTTGCTAGGCAAGCACTCTGCCACTAAGCTACCTCCTAGCCCTAAATCACAGTTTTTATTGCATATTAAGTTTCATAGGATGTGCTTATTCTGTATCATAATCACTACAAAACAAACATCAATGAAAAAAGCTCAAATACTATTTCATTATTACCTCTCGAGCATCCATCACTGTCCCCACACCAACAGTTAGAGCCATAGTTGGTACTTTTGATAAATCTCCATCAAAATATTTAGCATTTGCCAAAATGGTGTCCATTGCTAGTGTCTTTAATCTTGTCCTTGATACTAAACTGGAACCCGGCTCATTGAAAGCAATATGACCATCTGGACCTATTCCTTTCAAAAGAAACATATACACAGATACACATAGAAAGTGAACTATCTCTTAGATACAAAGTCTTCTCAAACTTGAACATGGTTCAAGAACAAATAATCATAAAACACCTACCTTGTTTTATTAGCTGCCTTCCTAATACTGCATTTAAATAGTATTCTGTATTTAACAAAATACTTCCATATTTTCTATATGCACAGTATTGAGGTGGCATAATTCTTATAATAATAACAAAACTAATTATCACCTTAATGTAACACTTTATAAAGCATTTTCACATATATCATCACAACCCATATATCTAACAATCTGGTTTACAGACACACCTATTTCTCTTATCTCCAGCTTTTTGTAAACACAAACAGAAAATGTTGGTGGTCAAGGAAATAATAAGCTACTCATACAAGGTTAGAAGTCTTCTGATTTTGAGTCCTTAAATAAGGAGCCTCCTTTGTAGCTTTATTTCCTCACTTATTAAAACAGACTAGACAAGATAATATCCAGTTGGTTTTCCAAACATTCTGACTGCAGCCTGTTTCGAGAAATAAACATTTAAACTATGCTCAAGTGTGTATATGCATGTGTACACACACACACACACACACACACACACACACACACACACACACACACACACACACACACACACACACACACACACACACACACACCCTTACTAGAAGTTATACAAGCCTCTCCTCTCTTTTTCCTCTTTTCTGTATCATCTCTCTTCTTTCTACCCTCTCATCCTCCTCTCCCATCTCTTTCTCTCTTTTCCCTCCCTCCTTCCTTTCACTCTTTTTTATTTTTGTGTGTGTGTGTGATACCAGTACCAGGACTTGAACTTAGGGCCTCTTTCTCCCTTGCCTATCTGCTTATGGCTGGTGCTCAACTTTGAGCTCTATCTCCACTTAGCTTCAAATTGTGATCTTTGGATCTCAACCTCCCGAGTAGAATTACAGAATAGATTTGTAGGTTTGTGTCAATGGTGCCAAGCCAAGGTATTCTATCACATTCCATTTCATAAATAAAGCAAAAACAAATGCTGTTATGTGATTGATGATACCGATTTCTTAGTGAAAAACATTGCTTTTAAGAGACCTACATTGATGCTAAAATATAGATAACAATATGGTATTCCTTTCAATAAAATGAGAGGTAATTCTTTACAGAAAATCAAGATGCTATAAAAGAAATTCTTTTAATATCCTTTTCCTAGTAATCATATTTATGACAACTTCAATCAAAAACTCAAATCACAAGGTGTCAGCGATTACCCTAAAGAGTCCTTTACATTTATATTCTACATATTTATTATAACAAAAAGGTACACATTACATACAAGTCAAATAAAAATTTCCTGAGGTGAATTACAATAAAGTAAAATATGCCAGCGTAATCTATCTAGTTTTGAAGGTTGAAAGAAGAAACTAATATATGAAGCAAATATTGATGACTGAAATCTAGGTATCTGTAATGTGAGGACATAGGTTTCTTCAAATGAGGATCTACATGTCATTAATATACAAAGATTATTTGCAATATTAAGTACATATTTGCCTGTAAATACATGTTTGCATTATGTTTGTATATTTATCTTTAGCTTTGTATAAAGAGAAATAAAATTAAAACAGCTTCTGAATAGGAAATCTATGAGGAGTAACTCTTGTATTCTTACTGGTGATTTGGAACCCATAGAAGTGTAAAGCTAACTTTACACAGGAGCCAACAGTTTCACTTATTGGTCATATGTAACTTAAAAACAGAAGCTCCTGACCTTGTATAAAAATAATCGGGCTATTTCTTATTTGGTCTTTAAGACTAAATTAAACAAACACTGACTCAATGAAATATCTAAAAAACTTGTATGTGTTTGTTCCTTTAGTTTTCTGGATAAAACTTAAATTTATGAGAGTAAAGACTTTATGTTCGTTACTGTATCTTAACCATATAGAACAATTGTTCTAAAAAGGAAGTACTCAATAAAAATGGTTGAATGAATGAATAGATGATTGAAAGGCTCATATTATTTCCTCTAGTTATCTGTTCTACTCTCCTCACTACAGTGTCTTGGAACAATCATTTTTCTGCTATTAACTGGAATCTAAGGATAAGCACTTTGTCCCAAGTTGAACCAGTCAGAATAGCTCTCTAGATGTGACTCTGAACCTATTACATAGGAAAAAAAAAAAAAGAAGAGGAAGAAAAGGAGTCAACTAGTCAACTAGAACTAAGATCATGAAGACAGAACTGAAGAAAGAAGGCTGATGAATTCCTGCTTCTGAGACCTGAGGTTCTCTGGTTCTTGTTTTTCCAAAGATTTGGTTGTTTGAACTCTTCCTTCTGTTTTGTATGTTAGCCCAAGAATCATTCCAATTAATTTATTTTTGTCCTATTTGTCAGTCCTTGTTACTATAAACCACGTAAATCATTCATGAAACAAAGCCAAAACAACAAAAATGTCACATTGTCCCCTCTCTACTTCATAAAAGATATTAAAATATTATAAACTAATATATTTAGATTCACCTTACATGTCTCTCAACATGTTTACCATGAGAGGAAGAAAGAACGTTTTGGAGTTTGTGCTTTCTCTTCTCTCTTTTCTATCAAGTGAACAGAATTTCTACTCTAATTCCTTGAAGTGACCAATAGTAGGTCAGCAATCTTGATCTCATCTAGTCCTATCTGTTCAGAGGGAGAAGAAAACCCCATTTTGGCTTCAAGCCCCACCTACAATCTCTATTCCCACTTTACCTTTAATAAAGCTGACATTTTGATCCCACTTGGCACAGTTTCTTAGTGTTTATTAACCAAGCCCTGGAATAAAAGAAGGGCAAGTGGTAAGACCCAGATACTAAGCCTCATCTTGAAAATTCCAATTATAAAACCTAGTCAACAAATGCCAGTAATCAAACGAGATTCTTTCCAGTGCAGATGCAATAATTAAGTTATTCCAAATAGGAAACATAAACATAATATTTAATTCCTATCTTCATACACAGTGTAATTATGTCCTTTAGTAATTATACCTGACAAATAAAATGTCAGATCTTGGACCCTCAGACTATAATGAAGATTTCAGTGGGGAAGCCAGAAACTTTCTTAAAAAATGTTTCCTTTCTCTTCTTGGAGGAGGAAGAGGAAGAAAATATAGCAAGAGGACGCTTTACCCAGATTGGTTAGAAAACATAAACATAACTAGAATTTATGTTTCATTACTTTGAAGGGAGAAATAAGGTGGTCTGTGTGAGGAAACATATAAAATGTTCAGAAGTCATTTAATTAAAATAAATTTGAAATGACTTAAAGGTATGGAAGATGACTCTTGAGGATGAGTGCTGTATCAGAAATATTGGATTAACAGAGTTGCATTCTTACACATCACACCAGAACCATGAAAACTTTCTGGAAAGCAAGCAAAAGAAGTTCCAGAGTCCTTATGAGGTATTTTCCCTTCTGCAAATCCTGCCTGCTGGCATCGCACCTTCAAGGGATTTGCCACAGGGGTCCTCGTGTAAAGTCAATGAATTAACAACAAAGAAATGTCCAGAATGAAGACATTTTTTAACATACTGTTTTCTTTTGTTAGTTTTTTTTTGTGGTGGGGGGGAGGGTTAGTGGTAGTAGAGTCTGAACTCCAGGCTTCAAGCTTGCCAGGCTTCTCTAATACTTCAGCCTGCGTCATTCCTTTTTCTTATTTTTCATATAGGGTCTTGCATTTATGTCCTCGCTGGCCTGTACTACAATTATCCTATTTACTCTTCCCACACAGCCTAGATGACAGATACACACCATGACACCCAACTTTTTATTGGGGGAAATAGAATATGCCCAACTCTTTGCCCAGACTAGCCTTGAACCATTATCTGCCTGATCTCCACTTCCCATGTAGTTAGGATTACAGGCTTGACCCATTACGTTTACTGACTCAAGATCCTTTTTTTAAAATTGATTAACCACTACCAGCTAATATGCTTTTTTTTTTCACAGAACAGGAAACGGGTGAAAACATTTTTATGAAAGACAATTTAGAAATCAGATATTGTAGTAGTGTGAGTTCAGTTTGACATGGAGTTTAGAAAATCTAAAGAGTAAGTGGATAATATACTGCTTAAGCATCCTCAAACATCTAAAGTTTCCATCTAAATATTGGAAGCAAAACAGTAATTATCTCAAATTTGAGAAATTTGTATAAACTGGACTGTGCAAGTAAGGACTGCTAAAGTGATACTAGCAGACTTTATTTAAAGCACAGATGGCATTCTATTTTGAAATACAAATTAGTAAGCTTGCATCCTTGCTCAGATAAATAATCATCTATCTACAGAAGAAGATGAATGTTACCAGTTCTGCTACATGAATCAAAATTTCCTCAGAGAAGATTTCATTCTCTCTGGATATCTTTATAAATAACTCAGCAAAAATCTCAGGAAATTCAATAAGCTAAGGGACAACTATGTTAGCCTCTACACTTCAGGGAAGGAAAAGACTGAAGTACACCAACTACAGGCTATATGCTAACCACTGTCTTTAGGCATTTTAACATGTAAGAGTATATTTAGTCTTCACAATTTTAGAATGATTCATATTAACCGGTTTTATAAATGATTTCATTATGCTGAGCTTTAATAAATCCAGCAGGGACCCAAGGAGAGCAAGAGACCTAAAAGGGATGCTAATTTATGTCTCATGGTAAAATTCAATTTGCATCTAATTTATGTAATTTTGAGCTTTATAATGAATTATTAGACATAGATATTTTAACGTTGCTTTAGATTATCAGTATTTTTAGCAGAAAACTAAAGAAACTAGAGAAACAATTTTGGTTTTATGTAGCTTTTTTTACACCATTCTGAAGGTAATTAGCTGGCTGTCTCAGATGCTTCATATGATGACAGAAAACCTTATTATTACTACAAAGGGAGAAATTCTATATTCAATATAACATGTACACATACATATATACCCATAAATGTAAAGTATAGATAAACTTCACCTAGGAGTTGGTCAATTAAACTTTGGAATTTATGAAGGCAATTATACAGTTTAACTCCTATTATTTAAAAACTGATGATAAAAACAATCTTTTTATCATTTGTAAATGATTTTTCTCAGTGAGATGAATCAATTTAAATGATCTTCTAATATCTACCCATTTCCCAAGCTAACTTTCACATTCAATCCTGCCTTAAATGAAATATAAGCTAAAGCTATCATTTAGGAACATAAACAAGTCCCTAATTGATAAATATTCCGTAAACTGACAAACCTTAAAGGGACAACTGGCATAGTTAAACAGGGATTGAGAAAAAAAAAAGAAAGAACCAACCCTCTCTTAAATGGGTTGGAAGTATGAGTCATGCTAGCATTAGTCAATGATCATACACATTAGCCAATGAGCAAAAACATCAGATACCAAATTTGAGTCTCTGGGACCAAAAAAAGAAAGAAAGAACAGGTTTTGGGACCCACCTCTCAAGCCCTAAAGGATTTTGTCCACTGTTAGAATTTCAAAATTATAATTTGATTAAACAAAGTTAAATGACAGTCTATTTCTGTTTGTAATAGGTGAATACTGTGGATTGTCACAGATATTTATGTTATATAATGTATATATAATGTTTATTTTTAAAGCTACAATTCATTTGGTTTAATTTTATTTTAAATTAATACACACTTGTTACATGAGTGAGTACTACAGTATTATTTCCAGAGAAGCTCACAGTATACTTTCAACAAATTTATCTCCTCCACTGTATTTCCACTCTTCCCACACTACATCCCCCTTTAAAAGCATTTTGTGGGTTGCATTATATTGTCTTTATTGTATATATGTAGTGTCCTTTTTAATTTCCTTTACCACCCCTTTCTTTCCCCCACCCTTCCCGTGAATTGATACTCCCTTTTCTGTTTTAGCTCCATCACTATTTCCAGTACTACTTCTGCTTTTAATTAGTGGATATTACAGTCAGTCACAGGTACTCTTTATGTTGTGCAATGGTTAGACTTCTTTTTTACTTTTTCTAATTTTAAAGAGTTTAATAAAATCTTCTTACATACCTCCAACAAAAAGATCTATTCCTCCTGCATCTTTTATTTTCTTTTCAAATGCATCACATTCTGCTTGTAAATCTGCAGCATTCCCATCAAGGATATGAGCATTGTTAGGATCTATATCAATGTGCTTAAAAAAATTATTCCACATATAAGAGTGATAGCTTTCAGGATGATTTCTTGGAAGTCCTAAGTATGAAGTTAATAAACAGACATGAAACTCTCCAGAAATAAGTCTAATTGTTTATGTCACATTCAATTTTAATGTATTTCTATATAGAATATATGCTTAGTACATTTTGGAAGCATACTGCTTTATATTTATCTGCAAACCATCCATGGAAACACTACTATAGTTCTTATTCAATTTATAAACAAGTGAAACACAGAGAACTTTTCCTGAGACACACAACTCAGACAGGGGTTGAGATGAAAACATTTTACCACTATACACTTTGCATACACACAAAATTTTAAGGAAATAATCTATGTATTAAAACAAATTAACCATTCAACTACAATGTAGCCATGGTCCTCTATTCTTTCTAGACTTATGAGAAGTATATTTAATCATAATAGCTCTTTAATTGGCACTTATGTGACCACTAAAAAGGTATACTTTCATATATATATATACTTATATGTGTGTGTTTGTGTATAGATAGATAGATAGATAAACAGACAGATAGATAGATAGCCGGTAGTGGGGCTTGAACTCTGGGCCTAGGAGCTGTCCCTCATTTCTTCAGCTCAAGGCGAGCACTCTACCACCTGAGCCATGGTGCCACTTCCGGTATACTTATATTTTAAGTTACTATGCATCAGAGATCATTACAGTTAAGTAAAGCATCTTAAACTCTACACTCAAGGCTACTAATACCATGTCTTTAATTTCAAAGAAATATTATTTCTTATGCTTTTTATATATAAATCATGTAATTTACCACCCACAACATATAATGCCAATTTAATCCATGCCCTTAGGTGAAAAAAAGGGCTGAAGGGGCTAAGAGGAAGAGAAAGTTCAAAGATATTACAAATTCCAGCATAAATATATTAATCTAAAGATATATTCATTTTATTTGAAAAATAATATACAACATTCTCAAATAACTTATTCAATATATTCAAATATATCTTACCCACATATTCATCCATATTAAAAGTCTTCACATATTTAAAAGAAAGGTCTCCATTCTTGTGATATTCTATTAGTTTTTTGTAACATCCTAGAGGTGTACTCCCTAAAAGAAAGAGATTTCATTTTCTAAAATAAAAATCTACTAAAAATATATACCATCAATTATTCTTTTCATAACATTCCATATTCCTAGTATGTCAGGCAAAAAGTACTCATTTAAATGCATATTCAACTAACAAAAATAGGCTAAAGTTCTTCCTTTGCAAGCTTGAATTTGCTGAGCAAGATTGGAAATCTGTTCACAAAAAAATGTTTGGAATAATATTCTTGAGTTGATGGGTATGCGAGAGAAATAATATTTAAAGCATATCTTATGAGATTGAGAAAACTGAGGTGAGGTAGGTTGGGAGGGCAGAGAGACAAAGATGAAAGGATCAACATCAATCAAGATGCATTGTATTCATAAACTGATTCATGGTATAGTCACACTTATGGACAATGACTTAAATAAAAATATAATTGAAAAAGAAATGTTCTACAGAACACATCTGAATAAAAACAAATATCCACACAGGAAAAAAAACCTTTAGTTCTAGCATAAATGCTAGCATAAATGCTAACAGGTTAAATGTTTACTAATTCCTAAATCAAAAGAGAAACTACAACCAAAATACCTAACTGTCCCCACTTTTAAAATTGACCACAAAACTCTGAAAAGATTGAGAGGAACTTTGTCAGTTTTTTTTTTTGGGGGGGGGTCAGCTTTTTATCTGAAGTTCTGGTTTCTGATATTCTGTCATCTTCAGTACATACCCACTAAAAGGCCTAAGTGAGAAAGTTAAGTCTTGTTTAATATAGAAAGGACTCCCTGAAAATGTGATCTTGTTATCAGTTACACACACACATACAGTATTTACAATATGAGAGGGCTTACACAATGACCTTTGTTGAGCCTCAAACAGCATTTTATTTTATTACTATTTTTTATCTTTCTTACAGGTAATAAAATCAAAACTTGGAATATAGAACAAGTAAGGTGCACTTTGATTTTAGATGTACTACCCTTTGCAATTGAAAGATTAGCAAAAAGAACTGAGGGTGAAGAATATCAAATAAATGGTATTATTACAATTAATACCTGAAACTAAATGGCATTCTTAAGAACATAATGACTTAGAATTATGACTCAGGAACAAAGCGATGATCATTGTATTTTGTAGCACGAAAAAATCAAATGACACTACCTGGATATTTTCTAAGAAAATTCTTAATCGAAATCTAAATCTAACATAAGAGGTAATTAATGCTTAGGTATATTCTGTGAAGATACCAACCTATAAATTTTTCCTTGGAATACTTTTATTGTAGAAGGAAAAAAAAGGCCAATAAGGGACATTATAAAGTAAGTCATATGAAATTAAGAGACAACAGGACATACACTGGGTACCTCCCATGGTTATAAAAGGGCTAAAACAACATAGAAATAATATGAATAGTGACAGCAATGCTAGAAACAAAGGTATACTAGAAAAAGTACAAAGAGTACCATCATTTAAGTTAATTATTGCATTGTAGAGTGATAAGGAAAACAGAAACAGTACAGAAATAGTAGCAAAACTTTATTTATATTTCTGGCTTTATAAAATAACAGGTTAAATCAATGATGTGTCAATAAATGAAAATGAAAAGCATTAAGGAAAACCCTACAATTCCACAACCTTAGATAACATGAATATCTATAGTACAAAATGTCTTTTATTACCTGTTGGTAAACCCAGTGTGAAATATCTGTCCTGTCCAGGTTTGAATTGAATGATACGATTACAGATGTATTTGGCTGCCCATTCACTGGCCAAGTCATAGTTATCCAGAATGACAAGTCTCATTACGGTAACCTATGGTTTTCAAACCTAAGAAAATATGATTGGAGAGCAGTTAAATTATTTTCAGACAAACTGAAGTTTAATACACTGATGATTTTTAAAAGGGTTTCACTTGAAAAGAATGAGCACATATAACAACACAACCTGTACTTGCAAAAATGGAATAATGACTGGTCTCTTTTGAGCAGATCATTTCAAAGCCTAAGTTAATCCCAACAACTGTATCGTTAAGAAAACACAAGGCCCATCAAGACATGTAGATAGTAACAAGGCCAGAATTCAAATTAAGGTACTCTGTTTATAAAGACAGCACACCTACCACACCACATACAGTATATTAAATATTCTTACAAAAGCTACATAAATGCACCTATAAACAAAGCAGTACTCATTTATTAACTCAAGTTAATGTTTGTAATTATTGCTTAGCAACTTTGAGTTACTTACTAAAATCCAGTACTCCTCTTACAAATAACAAAATAACCAAATCTCCCTCTGTTAAAGTATTTCTACCTCTCCGAAATAATTGTCATTTTTATTAGTTCTCTATCATTCCAGATTACCTAATGCATTTGAATGAAATACAGAGAAATAATTTTTGAGAATGAGGTCCTACCATGATTTTTTAAGTGAATTAAATAGAATAAAAAGTTCACTAAAGAAGGTGCTGATAGATCTAAGGGGAATTTTGTTCACAAAAAGCAAGTGTAGTTTTGAAGATTTTTTATTATAAGAGTATTAAAATAAGGGCTGTGGACTGATGTACTATCATGAAAATGTGGGAACTGGCACTAATTCACCCCTCCTGGCTTATATAAGAAATGTTATTTTTATGTTATGAGGATTTGTTCACATGTACACTGTATTTTGCAATCATAATTTTCAGATTTTAATTCTTAAGGTGATTTTATCTTTTGAGTTATCACTCATCTTCTCATTAGCATTCCTGAGTTCTGTATCCCCAATACTTTAATTTACTACATGATTAAGTCAAATGTGTTAAACTCAAATGTTTGGATTTAATGGGAATAGAAGGTTTTATTACAATGAATACAGATGGATCTGTATACAACGAATCTGGATGACATTCTTAAGAATGTAATGACTTAGCATCCTGGCACAACAATAGTTATAATCACCATAATTAGTCAAGGACCACTATCTAGACTTCTGTTATAGTAACAAGACAAATAGCACTTATGGAAAAAAAAATTAGATGGCCAAATTCATTCTAATAAATGGATTCACCTTCCATTTAAGTTTATCAATAATCTTACATCAAAAATTAATTTCAGAGTTATGCAGAAAAATCAACAGCAACTGTTGGCTATTAGGACTGATTGACTATCTATCTATCTATCTCCACTTCTAATAAGAATGGTCAGCGAACCGATTATTAACAAAAAGAATGTTGGAAGAAGGAAAACCGTATTTAATGTTTCAAGTGTCTTCTGTGTCCTGGGTATACTTACCCAACACACCTGGTAAGAAAAACAGCCAGCAGGATTAAAGAGGGATGGTATTGTTAAAATACAGTTTCTAAAATTGAAATCATCATTCTCTAATCTTTAGATGAAAACTGCCATACCAAGAAAGGTATGCTGAAATCATAAAGCTATGAACTTTGACAGGAGATTCGACTTAAGTGTGTCTGACTCAAAGACTCAGTCAAGTTCCCAACATGCCTTATGGGTTGAAAATCACTTAGGAGGGTCCTTTTTAAAAACAGACTTTCGGGACGGGTGCGGTGGCTGGGTTTTCTTTTCTTTTCTATGCCATCTATCTGATTGTCTAGGACGATGTTTCAGCATATCTGAAATAAAACCCCATAAATGTAATACAAATGCCACAGGTGATTTTTAAAATTGGGTTAATCTTGGAAAAGAACAGCATATATTTCATTGCAAAAAAAAAAATTCCCAAGTTTCTCAGACCAAGGTACAGAGAAGTGTTGTTGTTGTTGTTGTTATTTTTTTGTTTTGGCCCAGAGTCCACTTCCAACATCCTGAACGAATTGTCCTCATCCAGAGGAAAGAAGGATGTCTGTGACACACCTTTTGCCGTTTTTACCCAGTCCTCAGAGACATGAACTTAGCTTGAAGGATATTCTCTGGCACCACAGTCAGATGGACGGCACAGAAGAGAGAAGCGGCCACGGCGCCGTCCTCCCCCCGCAGGTGCTGATTCATTTCGGACGGCCTGACAGCGGGCCGGCCGGCCGGGCTGCCAACTTCGGGGTGGCCGGCAACTTCTTCACCCCCGAAGTTACTGGGCCGGCAGCCGGGCTTCGGGGGCCGGCCCTGGGGTCTGAGTTCGGAGAGGCTCGGTGCCCAGCTGGTCTGCCAGGAGCTGCGGGGACCTGCAAGGTCTGGGGCCCCGGGGGGGTGGGGGACCCCATCCTGATGCAAGGGGGGGGTCCCCCAGAAAGCCAGCGGTCCTGGGGGGGCAATCCCCCCCCGCAGCCAGCTACAGTCTGCAGACAGGATGACGGCTACCATGTCCCAAGGAGGTGTCCGGAGAAGCCGTGAGAAAGGGGGGCCAGGGCGCGCCCCCCAGTGCCCCAGGACAGCGCGAAGCCAGGCCCCGGATGTCACACAGCCCCCAGCCCCCCGCCCGCCCCGCCCCGGTTCCGGGACCCCCAGACCCGCCCCTCCCCAGCCTCGGGGGGGGGGAAGCAACGGTCCCCAGCCCCCCCCCCAGCCACGTTTTCGGGGCCGTTCCCCTAAACTCACCTGCGGACACACAGACTCTCGGGATGCCGGAACAGCTGGAACTGCCGACGGACACCTGGCAACCTGCGAACGCCCCCAGCCGACGCGGGGTGCACCCAGCCCAAAGACCCGGATGCAGACCCGCGCGCAGGAAAGGGCCGCCGCGCAGGCACTGCGCATGCGTGCGGCCTGGGCGCGTCTGGCCGGAGCGGCGAGGTGTGTCCTGGTGCTCGGCCTCGCCTCTTCCTGCCCAGGTTGGGGAGGAGGGAAGATGGGGGTCTTGGGTTCCTGGGGCATCCTTTTACAATGTGATTTTTTAAAATTTCTCAGAAGGCAATTTGTCAGCAGTGCCATGGAGGCGTGCTGTTTCCTTTGCGGGACGGGAGGCCTTGCACCCCTGATACAGCTTCTCCTGTTTATAAAGGCAGTATGATTTCGCCTGTAATTTAACCCAAACTGTTCTACTTGTCTTCTTTGCAAACACAATGACTCCAGGGTGAGCGACATCCTAACAATGTTTGCAGGAAGGCACACTGTGTAATTGGAAAGGAAACCCCTGAGTTTCCTCTGAAAGAGGAAACAGATGCTACTGTTCTTTGGCTTTGGCTCTGAATGGTTCTAAGGAGCAGGAGAAACAGGAACACCAGCTTTGAATGCTTATCACAGTCGTGGTTCTGGAGGGGAAAGTCACTGTTCAGCTTCTGCCACTCCAAGGACAAATGACTATTAGGCCCCATTTAAAACCTGTTAAAAGCACAGCTCTTACCTGTAATCCTAGCTAGTCAAGAGGCTGAGAATTTCATTTCAAAGCCAGACCAGACAAGTAAATCCATGAAAATTTTATCTCCAATTAACCACCATCAAAAAAAAAAAAAAAGCAGAAAGTGGAGCTTTGACTCAAACAGGTAGAGTGTTCTAGCCTTGCACAAAAAGAGTTCAGCTATAGTGCCCAGGCTTGGAGTTCAAGCTCCAGAATCAGTACAAACAAACTATTAAGAACTTAGTTTGAAAAATTACAGTGACTATTATCTTTGGGTGGCAAGCAAACTCAAGATCCTATTTTCCTAGGAACTATTAAGTTGACATGTTGAAGTTCTGCATAGCCTCGGTGTAAATCAGGTGGTGTCAAAGATGACCTTGCATACATACCTTTGGCAAGGATGTGATGTTTTGTTATCAGTGATTTGACTTCAAACACAACATAGATAAAAGAAAGTATTTCTTGCCACTATTGCTTGGAGTTGGATTACAAAGGCAGTCTTTATCACTGCCATTCCCAGTATTGTCATTTGTCATCTTATAACTGTAACTCTGAAGGAGGGAAAAACAAAACAGCTTTTATAATAAAGAATTTGCAGGGAACAGTATTGGAACATAGAATGACATTTTTGAAATGAATTTTTTTCAAACAATTTATCTTTAAAATATATTTCTGATATTGCAAAATTAAATTTACCCATGATAAATTTTCTGTTTTCATAGGAATAGGCCCTGAGGGAAGGATCCTTGTATGCGTGGTGTTTGGATGTTTGGATACACATTTTCCTAAAGACCGAAGTTGTTGTACATCTTTTCCTGCAATGGTTGTCTATATTTATTTCTTCTTGAAGAACTTTCTATTCAAATCTTTTGTTTATTTGTTTGTTTAGTTTGGGCATTATTGGAAATAATAATTGGGCATTATTTGAAATCAGCGAGAACTCCTACTTGCTTGCTTGGCGCACTACTTCAGCCAGATCTCCAGCTCTGCTTTTGCCTGGTTATTTGGGAGACGGAATCTCATGGACTTTTCTTCCTTAGCTGACTTCAAAACATGATCCTTCAGCCAGATACCAGTGGCTCACACCTGTAATCCTGGCTACCCAAGGAGGATGAGATCTGAGGATTGCTGTTCAATGTCAGCCTGGGCAGAAAAGTCTGTGAGACTCTTACCTCCAATTAACCACCAGAAAAACAGAAGTAGTGTTGTGTCTCAGAGTGGTATAGTGCTAGCATTCAGCGAAAAAGCTCAGGGATAACATTTGGGGGATGTGGGGGGTGGGTGGGGGAGTCCTCTAGATCTCAGACTTCTGAGTAGCTAGGATTGCAGGCATAAGCCTTTGGATTCCAGATCTCATTTTTTTTTAATTACTCAGTTGTAAGAGTTCTCTGTATTTCCTTAAGATGAAACCCTTATCAAATATAGGACATAAACATTCTCTCCTATTTTGTGGTTTGTCTTCTCTCCCCTTCCCTTCCCTTCCCTTCCCTTCCCTGCCCTGCCCTGCCCTGCCCTGCCCTGCCCTTCCTTCTTTTTTACTAGCCATAGTCCTAAAGGTTGAACTCAGAGCCTTGATTCTGTCGCTAAGTTTTTTTTTTTGTTCAAGGCTGGCACTTTACCACATGAGCCACAGCTCCACTTCTCACATTTTTGTTAGTAAATTGGAGGAAAGTCTTGTGGGCTTTCCTGACCAGGATGGCTTCGAACTAAGAGCCTCAGAGCTCAAGCCTCCAATTAGCTACTAGCTAGGATTATACACATGAGCTATTGGTACCCAGGTTGTTGTTGTTGTTGCTGCTGCTGCTGCTGCTCTCCTCCTCCTCTTCCTCCTTCTCCTCTTCCTCCTCCACCACCTTTTCCTCCCTATCTCCTTCTCCTCTTCTTTCTCCTCCTCCTCCTTCTCCTCATCCTTCTCCATCTCCTCTTCCTCCTTCTCCACTTCCTTTACTTCCTTCTCCTCCTTCCTCTTCCTCCTCTTCTTCCTCCTCCTCCTCCTCCTTCATCTTCCCTCTCTTTCTCGTTCCCTATTCCTTCCCTTTTCTCATTCTTTCTTTTCTTTTCTTTTGTCTGAGACAGAAATTCAAATTCAGTATCTGACACTTTTACTCATTGGCTAGCACTCTACCAACTGAGCTATGCTTCTAGCTCCTTTTTTTCTTAATAGTGTCCTTTGAAGAAAAACGTTTTAATTTAGAGAAGTAGAATTTATCTATTTTTTTAACTTCTTGCTCATGGTTTTGGCGTACTATCTAAGAAGTCATTGTCTAATCAAGGACAAGAAGGTTTACACCTAACTTTAATTCTAAAACTTTTATAGTTTTGTCTTTTTTGTATTTAGGTCTTTGAGCTAATGACTATAGGTAACATGTGGTAGGAGTCTAACTACATTATTTTATATGGAGACATTCATTTATCTTAGCACTATATATTAAAAAGATGATTTCCCCCTATTCAATAGGGGGAGTATGAGCTAAATAAACTTCTCTTTAAAGATTGTCTAGCCTCAGGTAATTTTACAGGAATGGCAAAGAGACAAATACAACCCTCCCAACATATCCTGAGGTAGGGTTTATCAAGTAAGAATCAAATGACATGCATAATTGATTAGATGAACAATAGACAAGTAGCATTCAGCCTCAGAAATAAAGGAATAAAGGGCATAAGGATGATTGAAATATTCTATACTTAGTTATGAAAATAGAATAAAACATGATAAATATGTTTCAAGATAGGAATGGTGATAAAGGACAAAATAGTGGGGTGGATTTGGTTGGGATATATGGTATGCATTATGGAGTTATCAGTACGTACCTCGTTTTAATAACTAGGGAACACTAACAAGAATATGGAAAAAGTGAAGCAGAAATATTTATGTAAATAAAAGCAGGAATAATGATTATTAAATGTTGCATTAAAATTGATTTTTACCCATATACATATATATATGTATTTATATACATATATATATATATATACACACACACACACACACACACCTACATGTAGACCATGTCTACATGTTCATTGTAGAACATATAATTAAGCACCTATTTGCACCCATCACAGTTGAGTTACTGTTCCTTTAAATTAAAATAAGAACATTTGTTTTGGAAAGCCACAAAAATCCCGTAATAAAATTTGAGGAATTTATATCATTACTGAGACTCTTGGAAGATTTCTTGAGACAACAATCATAAACATGCAGATGGTTGGAATATATAATGAGATTCAGGGAATTTCAGTTTTAATAACATAGAATAAAACATGCCTTTTGACTGTAATTTAATTAAAAAAAGTTTTCCTGGGATCATAAAATATGAGATTATAGCTATAAAGGCTTCTCAGTAACAACTAACACTGAGATTAAATAAGACTTTTAGAACTAAACATCGGGATATATTATAGTGAAGAATATTTTTTGTACTAAACAGCTATAAAACAAAACCAATGTAATCTAAAATATATACAAATTATAATATATTAAGTATATTTGCCACTAGATAAACTAAGGAAAAGCTAGAGGCAAGCTGAATCAATAATGTTTTACACAAAAGAAATCAAGATCCCAAGATAAGATGCTTAATCTCCCTAGGGGGGAGATTTTAGAATGGAAATTAAACTTTTGGAATAATTAATTCCTATATAATCTTCGTAAAAATTGTTAAGTCACTTTTTCATCGAGCATCTGGAGCAGACCTTGGCTTATACAGGATATTCCAGTGTTCAATAACCTTTTTATGAGCGTGGCTAGGCAACAGATACACACGAGAAGACATGATGGAAATAGAAACAGATAGAAGAGCTGTGCTGTTATACTGTGTATGAACCCCATTTTTTTTGTTTCCTATGCATCTTTCTAAATACCTGTCCATTCTGGGTGGTCTCCCATAGAATAGAAATAACAGACAGCAATTAAGACAAAAAATTACACTCTAGTGTTTCAACAATATAAAAGTTAACACCCACTTCCTTTGTTAAATCAAAAGGATTTACTACATAACTCACAAAGAAAAACACAGCCAGGCACTGGTGTCTGGCCTTTGCTTGGAATTCTAGCTACTCAGGAGGCCGAGATCTGAGGTTGAAGTCAAACTGGGCAGGAAAGTCCTTGAGACAATTATCTCTAATTAACTCCCAAAATCAGCTGCAAGTGGAGCTGTGGCTCAAGTGGCAAAGCATTAGCTGTGAGCAAAAAGGTCGAACATAGCCTAAGGCTCTGAATTCAAGCCCCACAACTGACATATGCATAATCATGTAAGTCAATAATGCATATTAAATATCTTTCTAAATATATCTATACACTTGCATGTGTATCTCTATAGCATTGGTCCTTTTACCCTGAATAATTAATAATGTGCTTATTTTCATTATTTTGATGGAAAGACACCTTACTTATTCAGTTGGAA